ATGTCTACTAGGTGGCTAGAGTCTGATCCTCAGAGCCTATGGTTTGGGCGGTCAACAACGCTTGGGCCCACAGGGGCTTGGCCTCCTGACCGGGTCTGTACTGTCTGCATCTGAGTCCTCCTTATTTATTGATTGTTTAAGGGACAACCACATTGTTTTTATATATGAAGGATAAGCTGTGGAAATTCTATCTGTAAAATGTGCTTCATCTCTAAATTGTTTCTAGTGAGTAACTATTTTGTTCTTTATCGACCCTTCTTCATAGCCTTTTTTGAAACATATATTTTTGTTTGATAGAATTAAATATTCTGAAGGATATAAAGAAATCACCAGTATTATGAATGCTATGTAAATATGACCACTACCCTTTCAAAGGAGAATAGATGATATGTCTGATTGAATGAGTTGTCTCTGTAATCCCTTTGCTTGCCTTGAACTTTACTCTGTCCCTAGATTTCTATCTGTAGTGGTGGGCTGGAACATAACTGTTCTGAGCTGTAGTTGTTCCAGCAGACTCTTGATACAAGTAACATTCCATTTTAATAACTTGTTAGCAATTCCAGAGGTATACTTAATGCCTCTTAAAGTAATCAATGAATTATCTTCTTATTTCTTACTGAGGCATGGATCGGGAATATTGTACAGAAAAGAATGAGGCCATAGCCTAGCAGACCCCAATAACCATCCACATCTCAGCCCCTCTTTGTTCTTTCCTTCTTCCACATACAGTAATTCTTACAAAGTGTTGGAAAATAAATCTTATTTATGAAGCACAACCATCAAGTAGTAGAGAACTTGGGTAAAAATTGAAGAGGCTGTTAATGTGTGAGGTGAGGATAAAGGCTAGGAACACACTGCTCTGGCTTTTCAAGAAAATGTGATTTGGGAGATAGCTAAGAGACTGTAAAGAGTTCCATGTTTGTTTATCATTTGGGGATTCACAAAGGTTGGAGGATAAAATGCTTAAGACTGTAAAGGACCTTCATTGTATGTGTTTTTACCATGCATTTAAATAGTAAATGAAAAACACTTTGTCAATTCTGAATTGACAGAAGTCAGTTCTGGCTCATAACTATCCTGTAGGACATAGTAGAACTGCCCCATAGGATTTTCATGGCCCTGGTGTGGTACTGCAGGATAAGCACTGGACTGCTAACTGCAAGGTCAGGGGTTCAAGCCCACCAGCTACTCCTCGGAAACCCTACCCAGGGTCACTGTGATTCAGAACCGACTTGACAACACTTCAGCAACAATCTTTGGAAGCAGAATGTCACATCTTTCTCCCATGGAATTGCTGGTGGGTTCAAACCACTGACCTATGGTTAGCAGTCATATGCTTTAACCACTGCACTGCTAGGGCTCCCTTTACCATTCATGAACTGTCATTTATTGAGATAATGAATGGCAATTGTCAGTGGGTGGTGGTGGTGATGTGCCATGGAGTCCGTTCCAACTCATAGTGACCCTGCACAAGGTTTCCAAGGCTGTAAATCTTTATGGGAGCAGAAAGCCTCATCTTTCTCCCACAGAACCGCTGGTAGTTTCGAACTGTTGACCATGAGATTAGCAGCCTGATTTGTAACCACTACGCTGCCAGAACCCCCTAATGGCCACTTAGTGTACAAGTTTTTACTTTCCCTGTCCAAATTCAGTAGGTTTAATTTTTATTTTATAATTAGAGAAGTACTCCCTGCAATAAAATGTAGTAGCAAAGGATATAGATGTTTTTAATGTCTAGAGAAACTCTGACAATAAAAAAAAGGTAAACAGGAGAATATATCTATTCGTCATTCATTGATTCATTTTCTGACATTTCTGATTGATAGCCATAATAAAAAAAAATCTGTCTAGCTGTTTTGTGCATTAACAACATACATCTGGTAGTAATGAATGAATGCTGAGGTACAAGAAGAGACTAACGCTAGCTGCAATAGTTATGTGTCAACTTGTGTGGGTCCTAATTCTCAGTGGTTAGGCAATTACAAAATGACATCATTAGTCATGTGTGCAGTGATGTGATTTGGCAGTTGACATGATGACATAGTCATCTTCCAGTTTGTGACCTGATGTGGTTATCCTCCATTTTTGCATAATGCCAGCTTTCACATAATGACCTAGTCTTTGGAAGCTAATCATGTCAGTAAATGAGGAATGGATATACAAATAACTGACTATATTTAAAAAAAAAAGCTGCACACTAGTAATGACTGCTGCTGCTGTTTAGTCAATTCTGGCTCATAGCAACCCTGTATAGGGTTTCCAAGGAGCGGCTGGTGAGCTTGAACCACCAACCTTGCAGTTCAAACCAACTTTGCAATCCAGCGCATTAGCCCACAGCACCACACCAGGACTAGTAATGACAAAGGGACTTCATATGCAGCCATGTACCACCATAGATTTTATGATCTGTGATGGGATCTTTTTCTGCTCCAGGGAAAAACAAGGGATAATAAAGACAATCTTTATGGCAAAGGGACAGACGTAGTTTGGAACAGAGCAGCAATTCTGCATTTCTTCATTAACTCAGAAAACATTTTTTTAGTGTGTTTATGTGGTTTTTATTATTGTTGTTGTTGTTTTATTGTTAGTTAAGTGCCATCAAGTCGATTCTGACTTGTAGTGACCCTATATAGGGTTTCCATGGAGTCGCTATTGAGTTTGAACCACCAACCTTGCTGTTCAAACCAACCTTGAGGTCGAATCCTTATCCTGTGCCATCACACCAGGACTCCGGCTATATATATGCCAGGCATTTTGCTAGCTTGTAGCTGAGAAAATGGGACTGAAAAACAAAATACCCAAGGTATTTAAAGCTTAGAAAGAGAGACAGAAATAAAATTCAAACCCCAAGTGATAATATTGGTGGTGGAGAGAAGTGCTTGCCTTTCCTGGGAAGTGACAGGCCTGGGAGCTCATTGTGAAGGGAAGTAGGGGTTGGGAACAGAGCTGTGTGAAAGCCTGGAAAAAGGGTAGACAAGCAAAGTACAGTCAGGGACCTGCTAGCAGTGACCTGACTGAGGTAAGAAGGCAAGAGAACAGAAAAGTGTGGTAATAAAGTCGTCTTTGGGGCCCGGTAGAGCTAGGGTTTGAATTTTAGACCCACCCATACATAGCTAAGTGAGCTTAGAAAATGACTTAACCTTTTTGAGACTCAGTTTCTTCATTTGTAAAATATGTATGTCCAAAACTTCCTCACAGTGTAATTTGGGAAGGCTAGAGATGATGTGTATAATAAAGCATTTAGCATGCCTCCCGTACAGTGGGCCCATGATGGAAATCAGTTACTTTATGTTTAGAGACAGAAGTGTTATTATTGTTATTAAGTGCTGTTGAGTCAGTTCCAACCCATAACAACCCTGTATAAGGTTTCTGAGTAGTGACTAGTGGGTTTGAACTGCCAACCTAGTGGTTTATACGGACCTTAGAGTCCAGTACATTATCCTGCACCACCACATCAGAACTTGTTTGTTTTTTCCCAGAGACAGGCTGGCTCACCAAAGTCCTCATAGGCTCCATATCCCATAGAGCTTCTAGTTCAATACAATTTCTTATAACGTTGATATAATTTTCCTTTTTTTATTGACTTTATAAGAGAGGCCAGGACTAAAGAGGTTATTATTTTTTTTTAAAGATAGATCTGCTTGTATTCCCAAGTAAACAGTCATTTTCAGTTATTCATTTGCAGTACCAAAAGTTGTCTTCTAGTATGATTGTTCTGGACATGTATTTGAAAATTGAGACAATCAATGTGGATTTTCAGTTCTCAGCATTCTACTTTTTTGTGTAATTGAGTTTTTAAATTCTGGATTCTCAGTAAGAAAAGCAGTCTACAGGTCCCAAAATTCTAATATATCTCAAAACTGTTGTCTTGGCAAGTGTACAAAAATCCAATTAGTCTCCAAAGGACAAATTGTCTTTGGGGACTCCACTGATGTAAAATTCACAGCAGAGTCTGGAAGAAAATAGTACTCTAGGATTTTTTTAAGCACAGTCCACATATATTTAAAACTATGTGAAAATGATTCTCATGTAAATTAATTTCATTTGTTCTTCTAGCATATATTTGCAGGGGGGTGTTTGCTTATTTTGAAATGCTAACCATTCCTTAAAAAATTGTATAAGGAAATCTTTGTGTATCTGTGTGTTAGAGTTAAAAACAGAAAAGGGGTAAGGGGAACCTATGATAATTAACAATAACATTTGCATAATCTTTTGAACCATTATAGGAGTTTGCCAACTTGTCAATAAGATGGAGGAGAATACTGGCAAGGTTAAGCCTTTCAACCGAAATGATGAACAGTTTCTGGAAGCTTTTGTCATCTTTTGTGGCCTGGGAATCCAAAACACACAGATGTACGAAGCAGTGGAAAGAGCCATGGCCAAACAGATGGTCACATTGGAGGTGGGCTGAAGTTTACAGGGCCTTCTGGTCTCTACAATCAAACACATAGCTTTTACCTTTCCTTGTGACAATTCATGGTGTGTGTTATATAATTGTGTCCTTATAAAAATTGCCTAATAATATGATCAAATTCATAGTATCCTCCATTTAAACTGCTGAGAGAACTTAAGACCCAAAGATTTTTGAGAAAGTTGTTGAAAGTCATGTGGCCAAATCATATCAATAGTTTTTTTTCTCTTTAGTCCTCTACTTTTTCTGCAGAAAGCAATCCTTGACTTTAATCTATCTCCAAAAATGATTGCTCATTCTGTGTGTACTGTCCCTTCCCTGATCTTCCCATCTCTATGCAAAAAGTAAAGAAAAAGACATTAAAAGAAAAAGCAAACAAAAATCTTACTCACGCTTAGTGAATTAGATATGAGAAAGGAGGAGGCAAAATCAGTGAAAAGTAGGAATAGTTTAATCTCCCGGGTGGTAGTGGCGGTTATGTGCCATGGAGCCGGTTCCGACTCATAGCGACCCTGTATAGGGTTTCCGAGGCTGTAAATCTTTACAGAAGCAGAACGCCTCATCTTTCTCCCGCGGAACAGCTGGTAGTTTTGAATTACTGACCTTGCGGTTCACACCCCAATTCATAACCACTACGCTACCAGAGCTCCTTAACCTCCCTAGTAGGAATGTATAATATGAATGAGTTTCACCTTAGAAACTCATTCATATTACATATTTATGGATCCCACTTCTGAAAAGTTGGGTTCACTAAATCTTAGGTAGGTGCTAGGAATCCATATTACTTGGGAAAAAAACCCAAAAAACTTAGCCAAGTGATTCTGAATGGGTAGGCAAGCTAGGTGGACCTATTTTCTGCATTCTGGTGACTATATCCTTGGTACACTGGCCTCAGAGGCAGGTTCCTTCCCAGGTAGGTCGAACCTACCGAGGTGGTACCAGCCCTTTGTGGATGTTTCATACAGCCTTAGAAGTGTACACTTGGTATAATAGGATATTTCTTACATCACAAACCAGTTTAGGGAAATAAAAAATACTAATAATCTCTACTTAGTCACTCCTACATCAGTGTTAAATTAGTTGAATGTTTACCTATTCGAATCTAGTTGAGATCGGTGTAAAATTAGTATTGGATATAATAACTTTTTCTCTGTTTTTTAATACTTAACCTAAGTAGCTGAAGAGATATACATTATATATGAGGGGGCTCCAAAAAGATTGTAGAAAAATGAAATTTTTTTCCACAAACTTTATTAAGCACCTTCATATATGAAGATTTACCAATAGTTTTAAATTTCAATGTAATCTTTAAAGACACCTCACTCTGAATCTATAATACTAATAGTTGTGGTACCGAATTATATAAAAGACCTAGGATTATAAGCTTTTGGAAATCTTAATTTCAAACATATATACATGTGTGTATATATACAGGACAGAGAGAGAGAGCTACCCTAAGTAGTGCAAATGATTAATGCATTCAGCTACTAACATTTAGGTTAGAAGTTTTAATCCACTCAGAGAGGAACCTTGGAAGAAAGGCCTGGTGATCCACTTCCCAGAAAACGAGCCACTGAAAACTCCAGGGAACACAGTTGTACTCTCACACACATGGGGTCACCATGAGTTGGAATCAACACTACTGCAACTAGTTCATAAATGCTTACTCTGTATTTTAATGCTTAATGCATATATTAAATATGAGCCGAAGTCAAGTCACCACAATTCCTGAGTCTCAGTGTCCTCAGGTGTTGATGAATATATAGATGAACTGCTATATTCTCAGCTTTTGAAGCTGTAACAATATCCCTAAATCTATATAATGTTACATTCCAGCCTACATGTTTTCCTTATGAATTTACAGTGGTTACAGGTTTCACGTAAAAGCTTCTTCTAGACTACATTTTTTCCACCAAATGTTGACACCAAAATACCAGTTTATGTAAAGGCTTTTTGGTACTCAAGCAAAAATAACGAAAGTCTTTTTCTCTTTTTTTTTTTTTTTCCTTTGCCTAGTTGGTAGACTTAAAAAACAATTCAAAACAAAATTTCTGCCAAGTTTGAGCTAATAGCTATTTCTAGTGTGGTATATAAATAATGTATTTGTTATATCAACAATGTCAGAAGGAAAATTGCTAGCATTTCTTTTGAACATAGGGAATATAACTTTTCATATTCTGAAACAAGCAATTGAATCTAAGCCTGGGATTTCCATGCTTGTTAAAAAGAAAGCAGCAAAGTTTAGGCATTTTGAGGATTCTAGTTATCCATCTCTACAAGACATTTCGGCAGAATTCCAGGCTTGAAATTTCAATTCCCATTTGGTAGTCCTGTCCTCTATGACGTTTCTTTTCACCCCCTATAGGTCCTGTCATATCACGCTTCTGCAGCAGAAGAAGAAACAAGAGAGCTCCAGTCTTTAGCGGTAATTCTTTTTTCAAATTACTAACTACAGATATCTAATTAATAGGTAAATGTGCTTTTCTTAGGATAACTGCTTCTACTAGTAATGGTGCCCCCTAGTCATGTAATCAAATTTGGGAAATATTGAAATGGACACGTATTAAAATATTTAATCAGTCCTACTTTATTAGGTACATTATTGATAAACAAAGCAAAAATAATAGCTTACATTGACATTGTAATATATGTGTCGGATTTGTTTTCCCCTGGTAATTGTTACAGTCTTTTTTATACAAAGTTAAATTTACTTTTCAGTAACTGGGGAAATGGTTAACTAAAATGTGGTTGTCTGGTTAGGGTAATGACAACAAAAATTTTACAGGTTGTTATTGGTACTCTAGTTCACATTATCAAGAATTTGGGTTCAAAGAAGACCAGGTCCTGCTTTCTCAATGCATTCTCATTTAATGTGTAATGGAAGAAGAACACATATAGAAGTAGGTCTTAGTTAGAATTAATGAAAATGTAAAGTGCTTGTATGTTTACAACCAATACTAGCCTTCTAAGTTTAGATTTAAGATATCAGCTTGAGGACTAAGGTGTGCCTGACCCAAGCCATGGTATTTTCAGTCACCTCATATGCATGTGAACATTAGACAGTGAATAAGAAAGACGGTAGAAGAATTGATGTGTTTGAGTTATGGTGTTGGAGAAGAACATTGAAAGTACCATGGACTGCTAGAAGAACAAGCAAATCTGATTTGGAAGAAGTTCTCCTTAGAAGAATGCTCCTTAGAAGCCAGGTTCATGACACTTTGTCTCTTATACTTCAAACATGTTATTAGATGGGACCAGCTTAATACTATAAAAGATCGGTGAAATAGAGGAAGACCCCAATGAGATGGGTTAACAAAGTAGCAACAACAGTGGGCTCAAACATAGCAACAGGCGTGAGGATGAGGCAGAACCAGTATTTCATTCTTTTGTGCATAGGATTGCTATAAGTCAGAACCAACTCAACAACAAGTTTAGATTTATTTGTGATGATATAGATGAGGTCTATGCAATAAACAACATTCTTAGTAACGGAGAAAAGATTGAAGTTGTCAAGGACTTCATTCTTCTTGGATCAACTATCAACACCCACAGAAGCAGCAGTCAAGAAATCAAACGATGTATTGCACTAGGCAAATCTGCTGCACAAGACCTTTTTAAAGTGTTGAAGAGCAAAGATGTCAGCTTGAGGACTAAGGTGCTCCTGACCCAAGCCATGGTATTTTCAATAACCTCATATGGATGTGAAAGCTGGACAGTGAGTAAGGAAGACCGTAGAAGAATTGATGCTTTTGAGTTGTGGTGTTGGAGGAGAATATTGAAAGTGAAGTACCCAATAGATCTGTTTTGGAAGAAGTGCAGGCAGAGTGCTCCTTGGATGCCAGGATTGCCAAAATTTGTCTCTCATACTTTGGACATATTGTCAGGAGGGAGCAGTCACTGGAGAAGGATATCATGTTTGGTAAGGTGGAGGATCAGAGAGAAAGAGGAAGACCCCCAGCGAGATGGATTGGCCAAGTGGCAGCATCGATGGACTCAAGCTTGGCAACGATAGTGAGGTTGGCCCACGATCGGGCAGTGTTTCGTTCTGCTGTACATAGGGTCGCTATGAGTCGGCACTGACTCGATGGCACCTAACAACAACAACAATGTGAGAAGTGATCTGTACTCCTTTTCTCCCCCTGTAGGTTCTTGCTGTGATCAGATGATTGAGGGTCGGTTTCGTTTTGGGGATTCCTTGGGTGATACAAACAGTACATTCAGCTACTAACCAAAAGATTGGTAATTTGAGTCTACCCAAAACAAAAGCCTGGGTTGATCTACTTCTGAAAATCAGCCACGTAATACTCTCTTGACACACATGGAGTTGCCGTGCATTTAGAATCACCTTGATGGCAACTGGTGGTGAGGGTGTCATTGTCATAATCATCACTGCCCACCCTATGCTAAGCCTTACGTTTTCTCATGTAAGCTGTACAGTAAGTGGGTGTGTCAGGAAGCAAACCCCTGAACCCATGCACATCACTACTGTGCTGTTTGTTATGAGCTGTTAGGGAGAGAGAAGAGTCAACATTGCAGGTTTCAGTGTTGGTAATTCAACGGTTGATGGTGCCATTAATGAACAAATGTGGAATTATTAACGAGAGACTTGTTTTGAGGGAAAGCTGGTAGATTTGACTTAGGACATAAGTTTAAGGTGCTGGTAGAATAACCAATTAGACATCTCAACGACCGAACAAGGCAGGAGTAGAGTAGTGAGGAGGCAGTCGGAACTGGTGGTGGTGTGCCGTGGAGTTGGTTCAGACTCATAGTGAACCTGAATGGCATTTCCAAGGCTGTAAATCTTTATGGGAGCAGAAAACCTTATCTTTCTCCCATGGAATGGCTGGTAGTTTCGAACTGCTGGCCGTGTGGTTTGCAGCCCAACTCATAACCACCACACTACCAGAGTTCCTTATGGTCTGATCTAAAGATGAACATATATAATTTAGTGTTCCATTGGTAGTGAAATTATGGGGTTGTAGCAATTGGGAGAGAAATAAGTGAAAGACTAAGAGCAGATCTCTCATGAATATAGTTTTAGATGGAAGGGGCCAGAAAAGAAACTAGCTCAGGAACCCTGGTGTGGTTCTGTAGGATAAGCACTGGATTGCCAACCGCAAGGTTGGCACTTCAAACCTATCAGCCACTCCTTGGAAACCCTATACAGGGTCACTATGAGTCAGAACCAACTCATTGGCATTTGACAAGAAGAAGAAGACAGAAAAACAGTGGTTTCACAGAAAGGAAGGTTTAGAAGAGTTACACAGTACAGACGGCAAAAAAGGACCGCGTTTCAAAACAGTAGAGTCATCGGTTGTTATAGGAAGGCTGAAATATGAGGACTGAGAAAACACTGCTGGGTTCGGTGATCGGGTGATTGATGAGAGCAGTAAGAGGAAATGGTGAGGAAGTAAGTACAGAGTATTTTTTTCCTCTTAAGTTTTGTATAAAAGAGAAATTGGAGAAGACGCTGTGAACTGTCACGTTTGTTTTTGTGATCCAGAGTTACTCACAAGCCAAAGGATTTACATAAGGGGGAATCCAGGGTTGAATGAAAGACTCCTCGAAGTACAAATCATTGAAGAGATACAGAGATAAGTGGCATGCGCTAGACATTTATTTTACAAACACAAGAGCAAAAAGACAAGAATTGATGGAATTATGGAGCACCTCCTATATTTTTGGCATTTAAAATTTTTCATATGTGTTAGCTAAGTGTATTTAATCCATAGTCCACCTGGTATTGGTGATAGTTGTTTGCCACATGAGTTGGTTCCCACTCATAGCAACCCAGTGCAGGATTTCCAAGGCTGTAAATCTTTACAGCAGCAGAAAGGCTTAACTCTCTCCTGTGGAATGACTGGTAGATTCAAACTTCTGACCCTATATTTAACAGCCCAGCTCATAATCCACTATGTTACCAGGGCTCCTTACCACCTACCTATAAGGTACATACTAGCATTTTGTGAAAGCAAATTGAGGTTTAAAGAGTTTAGATTGCCCTGCTCAGATTCTCACAGAATCCCTACACCTGAAACAGATGGTTAAATACTTGGCTTATAACTGAAGGGTTGGTGTTCAAATCCATGCACAGGCACCTCAGAAGAAAGATCTGATGATCAGCTTCCAAACGGATAGCGTAGTTGTAGGGCAAAACACATAGAGTTGCCATGTGTCAGAGTTGACTTGATGGCCACTGGTTTTGCTTTTTTCACTCTGGTCCTCAGAGGTCGTAAGTTGTGGTGCCACTACTCAAATTCAGTCAGGCCAGATCCAGTACCCACTCCTCATGACACTGCATTGGAGATAGAACCAACGGGAATAGATTGAGAGCTTTGGTGGTTGGTGGTTATATGCCGTGGAGTCGGTTCCGACACATAGCGACCCTGTACAGGGTTTCCGAGGCTGTAAATCTTTATGGGAGCAGAAAACCTCATCTTTCTCCCACGGAACAGCTGGTAGTTTCGAACTGCTGACCTTAAGGTTCGCACCCCGATTCGTAACCACTACGCTACCAGAGCTCCATGAGAGCTTTAGACATGCTCAATTATCTCCATGAGTCAGTATTTACTGGTCATTTGCCAAGAACTGAAAGAACTTTATATGATTTCACCTGAAAAGCTAAGCCCCTTTTGGGAGTAGCCTTGTACTGAAGTGGCTTTATATTTTTTATTCCTGATAATATTGTAAGTAATGGCCAGTTTTTCATTTACTTAAATAGGTTTATACATTAAAAATGTCTTTCAGCTCAGGCTTAGTTGGTCCATTTGTCCATTTCTCTTAGTAGGATATAATTTTCAACTCAGTGTGTACTGTGAGTTGGAAATTAGCATATGGAAAAATACATTTGAAGTGCTTGCAGTCACTGAGAGGTTAAGTTAGTTCTAAAATGATGGGAAGCTTATACTACCATGCGTTGTTTTAGATAAATAAAAACTAGCAGATACTTTGTAAAGATAATGCAAAATAAATCCCTAGGATATAAACTCTGTTTCTCACTTTAAAAATAGTATCATCTTTCAGAAAAACATCCTCTTAATTATGTTTGTAATTTTAGCAAGAGAAAAACATTTTGAAATAACTGAAAATTGCTGTAGTGCTTTATTGTTCAAAACCATCTGTTGTTCCATTTGGAAAATAGGTTTTTGGCAGCTGCATTAGCAAGTTAGGGTCACATAGCTTGTAGATCAAGTAATTCATTTAAATTATTTGAAATTCAATTGATTTCAATTCTCATTTTCTAGCAACCTAATAAAAATTCCTTTATTGTCCCAACCATACAGGTGTGTGTAATTAGTCTGCATCACCCAGTAATTCGCAAAAGTGCTGTCTTTGTCTAATTGTTTATCTCAATTTAACATCTAAAATAATTGAAGGGAAAAAGCTGTCAATTTTTTTTAAATTCTTCTATTAAAAATGGTTCTG